TATTGAAAACTGCTAAGTAAATGATTTCAACGTATTTCAATTGAAACTGAAGTTTTACGAAGTAACCTGCTTTTAAACTGTTGAGTTTGACTTGATATTCTGTTGAATACTCTTATATATATGATTTTTAACTGCTCGTCACTGCACTCAGACCTTATTTATTTTAGTTACTTACTGAGTTGCCATACTCACGTTACTCCCTGCACCTTGTGTGCAGATCCAGGTGCCCGAGAGGCAGAGTAAGGGTCCCCAGCATTCTCTGAGCTTACCGGAGACTGCAAGGTAGTTGCACGGCATCTGCAGCCCTGCTTTCCTCCTTCCTGTGTTAGTTTTCCGCATTTTTAGACTTATTATGTATTAGTTAGTCAGATTGGGTTTTATTTAGAGGCTCTTGACTTGTGACACCGGATTGTTGGGTTGTGTTGGTTTATTTTTGTACTGTTTTTCGCACATTTCAGTGATTTAGTATGTTTCTTATGAAAATTCGAGACTTAATCAGTTTTAGAAAAAAATGGTTTTATAAAAAGAATTCACTGTGGTTACTTGTTGGGGTTGGCTTGCCTAGTATTGTGATAGGCGTCATGACCAGGGTATTTGGGGTCGTGACAGGCTATCATCAAAACTTTATGGTTCATCTTCATCTTTCTCTGTTTAATGAACAAATGAAATCGAGGTTCTTTTAATCAAAAGGTAGATCAATATAACCTGTTCTAAAGCAAAGGTTCAAAAAATTAGATTTATACATATCCAATTGTTGGTCTATTTATTTTAGCTGAAGTGGAATTCCAGAAAAGGTATACAATTCATTAGTAAGGACATACTGCTTATAGTATTTCATGGAAATAAACCTTGCAATTAAATACCAAAATAAGTTATCAAAAAAATACCATTAATTATTTTGGTGGTCGATTATGTCAGGAAAGAAGGAGACTTTACTATAAACAGTAGTTGAGAAACAAAAATGTCCGAGGAGTTAGGAGAAATCAAATCAACTCCTCTACTAGCTACACAACGCAGTAGTATAACGCGTCATTGTCCTGTATTTTATATGGCTCTAAATTTACTTATGAGCTATTCTTCTTGAGCCATTCATTGTGGCCGTTTTTCCTTTTGTTAACTCTTTTTTGGTCCCTGAATATTCTTTTTGTTGCCACCATAGATTCTATTTTCTTTCATGTTGAAAGATCCAGATACAGAACCTTTGGAAAAACTTTATGAAACATATCAATGGTGGGGACATTAACATTCAAGTAATTCTGATGAGAATTTGCTATGTCCTATATCAATCTGTTTCAGCTTTCTTGTTTTGATGTCTATTTTATACCAATATAGTATTTGACATCTGTAGACATTTCGAGAGGATATTTACACAAGTCTCTATCTGTCACAGTGGAGTTCATAATTGAAAGCAAAAAAAGGTCTTTCTCTGATCTCTCTTTCTTCCATGTCTTTTGTATGGTTTGTCTATATGTTCTCATGTACATGAAAAGCAATATATCGGCCTTCCTATAATGTCTAATTTAGTAAATATTCTACAAAAGCTTATTTCTCCTGAAATGGTAATTTTTATATCACCCAAGACATACAGTGGCATTCACTATTTCCAGAGCTAAAATCAGGTCACACTTGTTTATTTTCTTCTTCTTTTTTGGATAAGTACTCAAGTTCACTTGTTATAGGAAATTCTTATATTTTATATGATTATTATCAATTCATTTACAACTACTATACATTAAAAATATAATCAACAGTAATATTTACTCAAAAGCTAAAGCAATTATAGAAATCAAAAAAATATATTGTAAATACTTGATAATTTCACCATGTCTAGATTCATCTAAAACTAAATTACGAAAAACTTCTTTATACACCACATTAGTTTCATCTGTTATTTGGTCATCATCATCATAAACTAAAATCTTCAACCCTTTTCTCCTTGTCAGGCATGAAAGAGCAACATACAGTTGTCCATGAGTAAATACTGGCTTCTTCAAAAATAATCTCACATGAGACAATCATTGGCCTTGACTTTTATTAATTGTCATGGCAAAAGATACAATAATTGAAAATTGTCTTCCCTGGAACTTAAAAGGTATTCTTGCATCTGATGGTTTCAACATCATTACCTGTCACGACCCACACCGAAGGGCCGCGACGGGTACCCGGTGCCTTACTCAACCGAGTACCAATGTGACATATCTTTCTTATCATACTATCATGGGTAAATGAGCCAGAAAGACCGTTATGAGATAACATGAATAAAACATAAGGGAATGCTATACAAAGGATGACCCAACATGATATAGAAATTTATACATGTGACATACGAGCCTATAAGGCCAACATGATCATTTGTATACTCAAAACATAGGCCGACAAGGCCATAAGTATCCATGTACATGACATCCGTATACAAGCCTCTAAGAGTACATAAACATCATAATGGTCAGGACAGGGCCCGCCATACCAATCAGTACATGTCCAAATTATATTGACCAAATAGGCAACTCCGGAGCAACTGGAGTGCACCAACACCTTCTGCTGAGCTGATAGCCTACTAAAAGGAATGTCAACCTATCTATTGGGACCTGCGGGCATGAAACGCAGTGTCCCCAGGCAAAAGAGACGTCAGTACAAATAAAGTATCGAGTATGTAAAATAGGAAAACATAAACAAAAATAGTAATGTAAAGAGAGATAGAGGAGATACAACCTGTAACATTTGAGTGCCTCTGGGGGCTACTGGCATGAAATGCATAATACATATATATACATAAACGTTTAAAAACATACGCCTCTATGGGCATCATCATCATCATATCGTACCCGACCTCAAAGAGGACTTGGTAAAAACGTACCCGGCCATCATAAGGCTCAGTAGAATCATATCCGGTCACGCGGAGCTCAATAAACCCAACTGATCAGTGGTTTCACAATAGGTGTCGTACCCGGCCGACTATAGCGCGGCTCATAGAGTAAAATAGATAATATATATAATGCACGCTGGACTCATGGAATCATGTTCTAAACCTTTCGGAGTGACGTAAGGTCGTCGCACCTTCGATTAACATTATGTACATCCATACCATCAATATGAACCTCAGTAGGATTCAAGGATCATACATACTTGCTTAGAATAACTTTACAAGGAAAGAACAACATGGGTAACCTTAGTTGCAAGGAGTAGATCCATTATGAAATAGCGTATTCATTTCACTTTAGATCATGCCAAAAGAAAGAAGGATGTGCCTTAACATACCTTTGAAATCTTCTATCCAATCGTCAAGCAAGCTCAATATGATCTTCTTACGTCTACAATGAGTAAACCGACTTTGTCGTCATCATATAAACGTTGTAACTCTCATATTTGGAAACCAACATTCTACAAGAAAACGGAAAGCACTTCCCCTATTTTTACTACATCCCATATGTTATCAAAAGTCACCAAATAGACCAAACAACAATAATATTATTCACAATAAGCTTTTTGATTAGTTCAACAACCATTTTGAGCGGCAAGCTCGATTTACGATTAACAAAATATTGATTGAATCCAATTCCTTTTCCATGAATATGTCTACAACATATGTAACATCATACTTATGCTTAACATACCATTTTCAACCCAAAACATCATAAGCATAATCTTTAAATATAGTCCACACGCCTAGCACCTTAACCTTTATCGTCAACATCTTATTTTTTATGTTATCTTCTTCAATCCACTGAATTAGCACATAGATAAGCTTAACAACAGCAGCCACAACATAATAAAACTATTTATAATAATTTCTAGCCGCAACAAACCATATATATAGCCTCAACTCAGCCCACAAGAAAAGATAATGATTCCTTAAGCCGTGTCAATTACTATCTTGCAGATTTTCACTCAAACAACTCAACCAACAGATGATTGACCTTAAGCACAACTAAGATCATGATTTACTTACCTTAGGCGGTAGATACAACTTGAAATCCCCAGCTGGTGTAGCACACACCAACCCTCAATCACACTACAATACTATAGGAGTTGTATTCTCTTCTTGAATCAACTTTTGTGTTCAAGTTTGTGTGCAAACACTTGTATTTCACCTTGAAACTCTAATATATATATGAAGTAGGGACTGATTCTTAGCTTAATCATAAAGAAAAATACGAAATCTGAGGTTACTTACCTTTGCAGAGCCCTCCAAAACAGCCACAAGATGAAGAACTATGATCTAGCAAGCACCACGAGAATTCTAGCATTAGATTCATGTTTTTATCTTAAGTTTTCACCCTAGAATCATGAAGGAACCCTTAGAGAGCATTTAGGAGGGTTTAGGAACTGTTGTGAATAAGAAAAATGAGTTAAAATGACATATAATTGACTTAAATACAAGCTGAAGTTGTACACTGACTTTGTGGGTCCCATGGGAGCTGCTTGTGCAGTCTCGCAAAAACGCAAATATCTCTCTACTCTGATATCATATTGATGAAAGGTTAAATGATTTAGAAACTAGACTCGTATATCTTCAATTTGGTAGGTAGATCACCCCATAATTCCAAGTATATTTAGAGAAAAGCTCAGCTAAATTTGACCCAATTTTCAGCACATTTATGAATGTAACTTGTGATGACCTTTGCCAACTTTTGTTCCACAACTCGCTTGACTTCAAAACCTAACACACATTTACCATACGACTAAAATAACTCATCACATAACCTCCTTATCATGTTAAGAACCATAGTCTCACCCTAAGGTACATTTCATAACATTTCAAACTTGTCGTCTTTCGATAAAACTTATTTTCTTCAATTGGTTTAGCTTCTAAGCTTTCTAACTCTCTCGGTACTCGTTATTCATGATCTTAAATATTTGTAACCTCCAAGGTAACATGATTGATTTAATTTATATGCTTCCAAATATAATCTTATTTTTGAGCTTATATCAATTGACTTACGACGTACTCTCACGCATGAAAACATGAGGTGTAACATTCTCGGGATAAACACTTTTTGTCAAGCCATATTACCAGATAAAACCTTGGCTTCAATAACCCGATTTTCAATTCTTGTCATGACCAACCTCGTGCCATTACACAATCCTGATGACTGGTCTATATTTCTCAGCAACATCACAGGAACACCAACCTTCAAAGTGATAGAGTGATTTGGAATTCTAGAACATTTAATATTGTTTAGGAATTCGGGTATATGTACGTGCTCCAAAGCTGAAAAAGAATGATCAGACATACAAATTGTATCAGAACTCAAATATGTCTTCTCAGGATTACGATTGAGTGAAACCATATATTCATTGATCGACTCCACCATATCAAGAGTCGGAGCAAGAATTGCTCTTCGCTGGAGGTAATCAATGTCACTAGAATGGCTAAAGAAATCTGGATATGTACTTTCAACAATTGCTGATATTGGATCATCGCAATTATTTATGAGAAGATCATGGGGGATTTGGACTTTCTCAATGCCATCAATGGAACTCCTAATCCTTCCATCACCGATTGCCAAAATCTATTCAGAATTTTTTTTAACTCATCTAAATGTGCATCTAACTGATCTCCTTTTAATCTCATATTCTTTGTTAGATTTAAGACTTCACAATGGATTCACAAATACGAAGAATTAAGAGCAGCGTTAACAATATCTTGCCTAGATCCTTTTGCAATGACAGGCAATGGTTGAACACTAGAACTTTTCCATTTGAAGAAAACTTTACAATATGTGCTATTCCCCACCAACGCCTATCCCTATTTCAGGGAGGTGTCAAATGTAGAGTTATTAACCAAAATCATACTTATTGTTTGACCATAATTTTCATTACATCCTTACAATATTTTCACTTAATAGGAAAAATTCTTAAGTTAACCAAAAATACACCTTTGTTAGATTTTCCATCCACTTGTAACAGAATCTTTATTAATCACGTGACTCCTTTTTTTCTTTCCTAATTTCACAATCTTCTCTCCTTCATTTTTGTGAAGAACATACACATGACTTTTTTTTGGGAAGTTTGAGACAGGATTTGTAATGGTTGTACTATTTGTTCTTGAGTGAAGCTTTTCACCGCAAAAGCAGAGATGATACTATATTACCTTTGCCCACTTCCTCAACATTATATGAACTAATTGCCTCATACTTTGTAGATCTACAAGAAGAGAAAAGGAAGCACAATTTTCACAATATGGTGGAATTCTTTGATTATTCAAAGGTAACTATTACATGCACAAGACAGAGAGAGAGAAACAGAGACCATATATATATAGAGAGATAAGTAAAGAACCACTGTGTGTGTGAATTTTCCAAATATACCATTATATCCTCTTCAGATCTACTGTATATTTTTCTCTGGATATATTGTTGATCCTTTTCATCACTCTTCAATCTCAAAAGCTCAAAAAATTTTATTTAAAAAATTGACTCTCTTTTAATTCAGTTCTATTTACATTCATACACTGTGTCAACTTAGCATGCGTCACTTTTTCTCTTCTTTTTTTTTGCTCAGTATGTGTTTTCCATTGAATAACACTAACTAGGTATTTTTTTTAATTGTTAAAATTGGTGTTTTCCAGCTTCAAGGTAGTTTTTTAGTCAATTACTCAAATATTTATTTAACTATCTAAAATTATAGGCTAAAGTCACTTTTCTTTCATTTATAACAGGAAAATCTTTCAACTATTTCTATTGCACATAAATAATCACTCAACCGGGATTATCAAACTTTTTGGGTGGAAACAAATGATGTGGCAGTCCATATGGATTTTAATATTTTTGGACCAAATAAAATGATTAAAACCCAAACAAAACATAAAAAATCCAACCATACACCCAACCTAACCCGCTAAAAATAAAAATTCACCCGCTAAATAAAATAAAACGCTAAAACGCAACACTATTGCAAATGCATCTCTCTTCTTCTTAAAAGAGAGATTTCATGAAGAAATCCGCATTTCTATATGTTAGAAAAGCTCAGGTTTCGCCATGTCTACTTCATGTCATTTAAATAAAAAATGAGGGTAGTTTTGACATTTTGCTAACCTTTATGAGTTGTTTGCTGTCATCCGATGACACGTAGCCTCTTCCAATTTTTCCTCCTAATATTTGTCGCTTGCTTTCGGTAACACAGATCCTCTTCCAAAATTAATTTTTGATGCTTTCACTTCTGATTTGTTATTCAAATTTCTGCATATTGATTCCAGCTTCTCTTTGCAGCATATGATATCTATGATTGTTGCTTGATTTTGGTATTAATTTTTGTTTCTTGCTCTATTTTGTACATGCATCCAATAGTTGTATCTCATTTGATTTGAAAGTAGATACATAGATGTATATTTCTGATATAGTATTGTTTCTCATTTTGCATGGGTAAGATTGTTATGGGAGTAAATGGGTTCTTCAAGGATGAAATTAGCAGTAAAATTGTGATCGTATTTTCTCTATGATTGTTGATCTAGAATCTTTATTCTGTCATGAAGTTATCTGTGAACATGTGCTTTTGGTCCCCATTCAGTGGATATGTTATTTGACATATGATCCATACATTTATGATTTTTTTCCCGTCTTTTCTTCATATTTTTTTTTGTGTGAATGTGATTGTTGTTCAAATATAGTAATGAAACATAGAAGAATTTTGATGCAGTCAAGGCATTTGACGATATGATCGAAACAACTGAATAATTTTTATCCTTCTGTTTCCACAGGTATTCAGCAACATACACATCCATCATACATTAAGCGAAAGGTACATTATTTACTTTTATAAAATTAGTAAACAATATAGTACTATATGTTATGTGCTGTTTGTCGGTCATGTTAAAGAAATTATTCTCCCATTTGCTTCCAATATATCTTTAGTACATTGTTGGTACTATCTGTTTCACTTTCATCAACAACAAAAGTATTAAATTATAAATAATTTGACAAATTTACAAGTTTTTGGAACAAGACTACCTACATACAAAGACACTATGGATTGAGTACCTAAATCTCAGTTGAAGAAGAAACAACGACTCTCTCAGTATATGCTCTGAGGGGATTCGAGTCTTTTTCATTTCATGTTAATGTTCATTAGTTAGGACGTGCTATGTTTGTGGTATGCTTGGTTTTCTCATCATCTCTGTAGATACTATTAATGATTGATGCTTTTCAATGAATTAATGTACACATATTCATGTTCTTTGCTGCCAGTGGTTGATGCTTTAGAACCGAGGTAATTGGTAACTCTTGCAATATCTCATGCCGTTGGCATCGTTACAATAAATGTATTATCGGAAACTCATTTTGTAAGTCGCATATTAGAGTTGAGAAGATGACGTTCTTTACTATGTGTTTTTCTCGACGCGTAGAGCATTTTATAGATTCAGTTTTTAGGAATCTAAGATATTTAGATTCTAATGAAAAGCAAAAGAAATTCATTTACAAGGAAAAAACATAGTTGTTTGACTCAAAAGATATTGAAATCTCTTTGAACAATCAATCAAAGATGAAGGGGTAAATCCTAGTCAAACTTAGTTAATTCCAGATCGAAAGGTTTAATAATGATGATTGCATAAGTGACGAAGGAAATATCGATAATCTTATTAAGATTTAACATCACTCGATGAGAAAAGAGAATTACAATTGTTTTTCTCCTCTTAGTATATAGGAGTGGAGCTTTTCTTTTGATTTCCCTTCTCTGGGAATCCAGCCGCCCCCCTATCGAAAGCCTTCCCTGGCTATATATAGTTGAAATTCCTTTACCCTGAATGTGACTTGACGCGTTTTGGTCAATGGTGCATTCTGGTCGTAGCTTTAGGCGTTGCTCTTTTTGATTTGTCGGGTATCTCAGAGGAGAAATGGAGTGGACTCTGTTGACTTTCATTACCCGATTGCTGAAAAGGGAGTTGTGGGCAACCTGGTCTTGGTGGTCAGATTTTGACCAATACAGTTAGTCCCTCTGTCTGTCGGGGTCGTCCTTTGTCGGGCTCGACAGACGGATCATGTTTGTAGCGAAGTCGATAGAAATCGGACCCCCAACTTTCCATTCCTTATTCGCATTCCGTGGATTTTTTGGCGGAGTGGAGGTGTTCTTTAGATACTCGTGGACCGTTGCGATGGTTTCGGAATCGAAATGTCGGTTGGCACTAAAGCGTTGGTCCGTGGTTGCCACCATTATGACACACGTTTCTAGGAAACTGAAATGTTTCGTGCCCTATCAGATTCAAATGGTGACTCATAGATTTCATGCTCGGGGGATTTATGTCCCTTATAAATAGGGGAACTTGTCATTTGATTGATTTACTTCATCATTTTTGTGAGAAAATTCTTCAGATATTGCTTTTTCTGATACCTTGAATTTCTCCTTACCTTCTTGCTCTCTGAAACCTTTCGTCTCTTCTTCTTATTACTTCTCTTGGCGAGTTTTCTACTAAAAATGGACGACAATTCTCCTCGCGATGATCTTCCTGCCGCTAATCTGGTACTAGAGAGCCCTGTTCAGATCGCCGGAGAGGCGGATGCGGTGGAAGATGAGGAGGTTCCCTCGGTGGATGAGATTCTACCTCGCCCCGGGAGGGATGCGACTGACTTTAGTTTCGGCGGTGGAGCGGAGCTGGAACCCGTCGCTTCCACTGTTAGAGAAAATGAGATTGTAGATTTGAGGGAACGGTAGGGAATCCCTAATTACGTAGAGATACGGCCGGCGGAGAGGGACCACAGAGTTCACTTTGATCGTCCTGGGTATTGCGTGGTCTATGCCTACCCCATCATTGTAGGATACACACTTCCTCTTCCCATGTTGGTGGTAGATTTTTGCCGTTACTACGAAGTGTGCCCCGCTCAGCTTTTGCCTTATTTATACACTGCTCAAGTATGCGGAACTTGCCGGTCATGAGGTCACTTTGGGCCATATGCTTAGCATTTTTGCTCCTCAACTGATTTGCGGTACGATGATTCACGCATATCCTCAGGGGTCGAGGGGTCTGGTGGTGAAGATGGACGACAGAACCAATCGTCGTTTCTATGAGAATTACTTTTATGTGTGGACCGAGCACATTGTGGCGGACTCGACGGGATTCCCCGAGAGATGAAACTTCGCACGTATGTTTGCATCTTTAATAAATGAAATGTTTGACCATTTTCTGCGGATGCTAAACCATCCCGTCTTTTGTAGTTGAGAGATTGCCCCCGCTGCCTGTCGAAGGGATTCGTGAATGGGTAGAGGCCATTCTTGCCCATACAATGGGAGTTCGCACATGGTCGACCTTTCACGAGATGTTCGGATACAAGCCTCTTATAGGTGAGATGATGCCTTCATCTACAGTTCTCTCTTTTTCTTTTGTTGTTTAGTCTCTTATGCATCGTTCGTCATTACCAGGGAGGGTGCGAAGAGCAAGGACCCCTCAGCTAGCTTTTTGTCAGCCGGCCGCATTCGCTCGCCTTGTTGCCGTATCCACTATACGACCTTCATCGAGGGCTGCTTCGGTTGAATCTTCGGCCTTGGTTACTCCAGCGAGGGCCACTTTTCAGGACGAGGTCCCGACCAATGTTGTCCGTCTTACGAACGAGTCATTGTCGACTGGAGAGGAAGAGGGGTCATCGAAGAGATGGAGAGTAGAGTTTGAGATGGCGCCCCCGACAGTGATTCACCTGGACGACTCTCTCCCGACGGGCTCTGGACAAGGTGTTGTTGCGGCTTCTCCCATAGAGGCGTGATAAGTTAGGATTTTAACGTGTTTATGCCCCTGCTTGCCTATGCTTTGAATATAAATTGCTACAAAATAGTCCCAAAATGCTCACAAGTTGTGCTTGATTGCAGGTTTGATTGACAAAGTGACGAAATGTCAAAGATCGGCTCAAAAAGGTGTGAAACCTGCTAAAGTATCAAAGGCCAAGAGAATTGAAGAAGTAAGGGCCTAGTGCGGACCGCACAACAGTGACCGCGGCCGCACTAGGAGGTTCAAAGATATGACATATTTAGGCTTAAAGTCACGCGGCTGCAGTAGGATTTTCGCGGTCCGCAGTGAACTTCGCGGCCGCACTCCTACTTTGTGTTGTCCGCGTTCATAAGGTTCAGAGAGTTGGACAAGGGACCAAAACCATGCCACGCGGTCCGCGTCCTGTTTGTGCGGACCATGCCATACCCTCTACGCGGCTGCGCTGCATTTTCACGCGGTCCACGTCCTCCAGTTTAGAGAGCTTAAAGTTGAAGTCAATAGAGCCAGTGCGGCCGTGGTTTCTTTTGTGCAGCCCGCACTGACCCCGCAGGGCTATTTTTGTCCAGTTTTTCCAGCCCACTATAAAAAGGACATTTTACCATTTTTAGGTCAAGTTTGGTATTCAGAAACGCACCTGAACTCGTGAGACCGATATTGTAGCCATTTTTGGCACTTTTGCTTCCCATCAACAATAGATTGTTGTAGTTTCTTCTTAGTAATTAATTTAATATGTTTAGTTCTTCATCTATTTCTTCAGTTTTTTCTTTAATTATGTGTAGCTAAACTCATTAGCTAGGGTTGTGGCTCAACCCTAGTGTGGGTAATTGATGGGTGTTGTCATCTAGGGTTAGATTGATATTGGGTGTTTGCTATTTGGGTTGATTTTATGTTTTTATTCAAGAATTGGTGGTTGCAAATACTGATTCAAGCTTAGTGGGTTTAACTCTTCCCGAAAGAGAGAGTCTATGACCCCAAAATTGACCCAACAAGGAATTGGGATGGACCCATGAGAAATAGTAGTCCCAATTAACGGGTTAAATCTCGAGAGAGTAATCACCCTACTTGAACCCTAGTTGCTTGGTCTCATTGGCCTACCCAATTGATCTCGAGAGAGTCAATTGGGCAAAATCACTCTCTCTACCGAGAGGTGTGAGAGTGGGTGCAATTGTGCAACGGTTACAGCATAATCCCCAAATATGTCAATCTATCCTTAGTAACATCTACCCGTCAATTAGCCACCTAGGTGATGCTACGACCCTAGTGCTCTTCTTCCCATTAATTACAACTTAGCAATATTCTCTTAGCATAATTTATCTTTAATCCTTAGTTTTATAATAGTAGTTATAAATACAAAAACTCAAAAAATGTTTGAAGTGATATTAGAAGCACAACCGCAACACTAGGCTAGATAGAAAATACAACTCCACTACTAGCTCCCTGTGGAAATTCGATCCCGGACCTCTATTCGGGTAAAAGCTATTGCGACCCGCTTTTCCTACCATAGCATAGTGTCGAGTTGGCAGCGATCACTTTTTGGCACCGCTTCCAGGGAGCTTACGGTGTTGACTATCTGTTTAGTTAGTTTTGTGTTTTGCTTCTCTTTCCTTCTTGTTTACTAATTTTGTTTGTGTCGATCAATCGGTACAATGGATCTTAATGCAAATAACCCTCTCGGCAATGTTATAGCGGGGGAGGAGGTAGAGGATCTAGAACAAGATGAGGTCTTACCTCAAGTTCCACGGAGAGGCCGAAATGCCAATGTAAATGCAAATGAGAACAACAATATTCCAGACCCTCCTCCGGCACCGCCGAGAGTAGCTCCCAAAGTTTTACCAAATCAAGGATACGCCAGTGCTATTGTTCCTCCCCGAATCCGGGCGGGGAACTTTCAAATCACAAATGTTATGTTGACCTTGCTCGAGCAAAGAGGGGATTTTACGGGTGCCTCCGATCAAAATGTCTACAAGCACTTGAAGGGGTTCGTGGATACATGTTGGGGTAGCAAGCAGACAAACGTGTACGAGGATGCGTTGAGATTGAGGCTTTTCCCATTCTCTCTTCGGGGTAAAGCATTGGATTGGTTAGAAAGGCTCCCCAATCATTCTATTACATCATGGGATGAACTGGCGGACAAATTTATTGCCAAGTTCTTTTCTCCAAGTCATATGGCAGCTCTTCGGGATGAAATTCTAGCTTTCAAGCAAGAGCCAACAGAACCTTTGCACGAGATATGGGAAAGATATAGAACAATGGTGAAAGAGTGCCCTAATAACGACATGACCGAAGCTATGATTCAACAAACCTTTTATCTGGGCATCAACACCACGAATCAATGCATTGTGAACTAATTGGCCGGAGGGAACTTTATGAAATTTTCTTACCAAGAGGCATGTGATGTACTTGATAAAATGGCCAACACCTCTTCGGCATGTCAAAGCCGAGCAAATGTGCCCCAAGGTGACCCCACGGTCATCCATTTGCACAAGGAATTGCACGATCATGGCCAAGCCATCGCCGAGCTTACAACAACTATGAATCAATTGGCAAAGGCACAATTGCAATAAGTCCAAAACCTGCGCCAAGTCAATGCAATGGAAGGTGTTTCTATGTTGAAAAGGAGGCAAAGAGGACAACAACCTCAAGGTAATTGTGAACAGTATTACAACAACAATGATGGTGGTGGTTATTCAAATGAGTGTTATGATGATCAAAGCGAAGAGGTCCAATATGTCAATAACTACTAAGGGAATAGAGGCAATTTTTCGAATCAACAATGGTGCCTCAAGGAAATTGGAGCAATCAACAACAAGGCGGAGGTAATTGAAATAATAACAATCAACAACAAGTCGGAGGTAATTGGAATATCAACAACCAAAACAATAATTAGGGTAATCAAAGCAACCAAGGGAATTGGAATGGTAATAACAATAATTGGGGCAACAACAACAATCAAGGAGGGTAGAACATTAGTGGGAACCAAGGCAACCGGGGGAAAGGCTTTCAAAGGCCCCCCATGTACCAACAACCAAACAATCCACCCCCTTTCCTTCTCAAGGTCCGAGTTCGTCCAAAAGTGATATGGAGAGAATTGAAAGCATGTTCGAGCAAATGATGAAAAAGAACCAAGATTCTAAGGCCTAATTAGCTTCGCATAACACATCTATCCGGAACTTGGAGGTGCAATTAGGCCAAATCTCTCAAGCATTGAATACTCGTCCCAAATGCGCTCTACCAAGTGATACGGTGGTGAAACCGAAGGGTGGGAATAATAATCATGTGATGGCGGTTACAATAAGAAGTGGGAGAGGCGGTGATGTGAATGCCTCAATGCAAAAGCAAGTTATGGATGAAGATGTTGAGTTGCAGGATGATGATGTACCTTTGATTGTTGATGATGTGGTTAATCAAAATGTGAACAATGATATGCGGATTGATATTAATGATGAAATAGAGGTAGAGACTCAAGATGTCGTGAACCCGTCTAGGGAACACGTGATTGACATGCCTGAGCCGGTTGTACAAAAGGCCAAGGCACCTTTGCCTAGGCTACCTCCACCTTATCCTAAACGGTTAGCAAAGCAAAAGAGTGACAATCAATTCAAAAAATTCATTGACATGATGAAGAGCCTCACAATCAATGTCCTTTTGGTTGAGGCACTTGAGCAAATGCCGGGGTATGCGAAGTTCATGAAAGATTTGGTTACAAAGAAGAGGTCGATGGAGTGTGAAACAATAAAGATGACTCATCAAGTGAGTGCCATAGTGCATTCAGTGGCGCCCAAGCTTGAGGATCCCGGAGCTTTTACTATCCTTTGTACTATCAGAAGTGCGGATTTTGCTAAGGCCCTTTGTGACTTGGGTGCTATTATTAATTTGATGTTGTACTCGGTCTTCAAGACTTTGGGAATTGGTCAACCTTGACCTACCTCAATGAGACTTCAAATGGCGGATCGATCGATGAAGCGACCCTTGGGCATAATTGATGATATTCTTGTCCGTGTTGATAAATTCATATTACCGTCCGACTTTGTCATATTAGATTGTGAGGTGGAATTTGAAGTGCCGATTATTCTTGGGAGACCTTTCCTAGCTACGGGGAAGGCATTGGTTGATGTTGGAGCGGGTGAGTTGAGTTTCCGAGTGGGGGATGAGAAAGTGGTATTCCATGTTTGCAAATCAATGAGACAACCCAATAGCACG